CGGAACTTCTCTTAGAAAACAGTCCAGTTGTTTATGTTTAACAAGAGATAAATTCCAGGTCCGTAGGAATGGCAAAAAATTGAGAAAATACAAGGTACGAAACAGTCCAATTTGTCCATAGTAGGAAAACAGCATGTAAAGGATCTGGGAATAATGATGTCCGACGACCTAACGTTTAGGGAGCATAACCAAGCAAATATTGCGGTAGTCAGAAAAAGTATTGGATGGATTACGAGAGCTTTCAAATCCAGGGAAGGTGCAACAGGTACTCTGAGAGAGAACTCTATCAACATCAGAGGCCCGAGACTGTTCAACACGCTTCCACTACACACAACTGGCAGACCCCTCACAGTGTTCAAGAGAGAACTGGACAACCACCTCTAAAGGATACCTGATCAATCAGGCTGTGACGCATACGTCAGGCTGCGAGCAGCCGCGTCCAACAGCCTGGTTGATCAGTTCAGCAACCAGGAGGCCTGGTCGACGACCGGGCCGCGGGGACACTAAGCCCCGGAAGCACCTCAAGGTAAGGTAACCTCAAGGTAAGGTATGGTGGGGGGCGGGGCGGGCAGGTATTGGCAGATGGTAGCGAGGCGGTAAACTGAATTTCAGGTGATAGCGAAGACATTCCCCCACAAGGCACCAGAGGATTCAATAAGACTCGCTATCCTCCCCCCCCCCCCAGCACAACAATATACCGCAGGCCTAATCCCACAAAAAAAAACCACATATACCCCCTTGTGACCTCTCCCCCGTCGCCCAGAACCCCAGAAAGTTCACCCTAGTCGTCTCTCCCATGGGGAGCACTCCCCACCGTGGCTGTTTACGCCTCCCACCGGGTGTACGCTGCAGGTACAGAGGACGCAGAACGTGTTAGTATAGAGGCGAGTCGGGCCTCTGGCGTAAAATGCCTTGTCCACCCCCCCCCCCCCCCACCCCACCTCACCCCCCGGTGAACAAAAACGGGCGGACACAAAGCCTGGATTTCACGGCCTCCTGGACGCAGGCTCCGCACTCTCTTTGTTCCCGGGCTTTCCGAGAAGGTTGGGATCCCTGGCGCCCCGGTGAGGGGTCAAGGCTGGGCCTGCTACCACAGACGCCCCTGCTACTGCTGAGTACTCTTACTGGCGTCGCTCTCTTCACCTCATAACTACCTCATAACTACCTCATAACTACCTCATCATCTCTGAAGTTACCTCACATTCTGATTCACATTCTTTTTCCATTATTAACGTGTTTCGTGACCGCCACTTTCTAAATTACTATATAACATTACATACGATATCTTGAGGTTATCTTGAGATGATTTCGGGGCTCTAGTGTCCCCGCGGCCCGGTCCTCGACCAGGCCTCCACCCCCCTAGGAAGCAGCCCGTGACTGCTGACTAACACCCAGGTACCTATTTTACTGTTAGGTAACAGGGGGCATAGGGTGAAAGAAACTCTGCCCATTGTTTCTCGCCGGCGCCTGGGATCGAACCCACGACCACAGGATTACACGTCCAGCGTGCTGTCCGCTCGGCCGACCGGCTACGATAGACTTCCCTCCCCCCTGTCCTGTCAATTCCGAAACTGAAATTTCGTAGCTACGAAAGAAGACAATGAGACCAAAGGCCTCTGCGCTGGTACAAGCCGCGATAGACCGCCCCTAGGAGGATAGACCGTCCCTAGGAGGATAGACCGCCCCTAGGAGGATAGACCGCCCCTAGGAGGATAGACCGCCCCTAGGAGGATAGACCGCCCCTAGAAGGATAGACCGCCCCTAGGAGGATAGACCGCCCCTAGGAGGATAGACCGCCTCTAGGAGGATAGACCGCCCCTAGGAGGATAGACCGCCCCTAGGAGGATAGACCGCCCCTAGGAGGATAGACCGCCCCTAGGAGGATAGACCGCCCCTAGGAGGATAGACCGCCCCTAGGAGGATAGACCGTCCCTAGGAGGATAGACCGCTGTCCCACATACCACGTTCACTCCATTCTGCTCTCCCCTGTGCTCGGCTATCGGTTAAAACCGCGTCAGTGGGAGATAGGATTACACGTCGATATCTTTATGCCATCTTCGCGCTCCGCAGGAGTGATCCGACATCGGGGTCTGAGGCCAGATTCACGAAGCAGTTACGCGAGTACTTACGAACGTGTACATCTTTCCTCAATCTTTCACGCCTTTGGTTACATTTATTAAACAGTTTACAAGCATGAAACTTGCCAATCAACTGTTGTTATTGTTATAAACAGCCTCCTGGTGCTTCGGAGCTCATTAACTGTTCAATAACTGTAAACAAAGCCGCCAAAGATTGAGAAAAGATGGACAGGTTCGTAAGTGCTAGCGTAACTGCTTCGTGAATCTGGCCAGCACCCGGAATCGTGGTGCTCTTGCTCCAAAGAGTCCTCCAGTCCCGTAAGGAGCTACTTGCGTTGACGCCGCGGCCCTGGAGACGATGGCCAAGGGGGTCGACGACTGATGCGTTACATTACACACAGAATAGCTTGTGCGTGACAATAGCTTGTGCGTGACAATAGCTTGTGCGTGACAATAGCTTTTTTAAGTTGCGATCCACTTACCGAGCGTCGAGGGTTTGTTTGCTTACAAGCCACGCCCGAAGGAAAAAAAAAGCAGATTGCCAACAAACATCGCGCGGCGGGCTTAAAACATCGCGCGGCGGGCTTAAAACATCGCGCGGCGGGCTTAAAACATCGCGCGGCGGGCTTAAAACATCGCGCGGCGGGCTTAAAACATCGCGCGACGGGCTTAAACATCCTACATTCATATTCCTCCTTGCCGCCTGCCCCTTCTTCCCATTTTCTAAGCCGCCTGGGTTCACGGAGGCTTGAAGACTGAGGGGTTACCATACGGTTTTCTCCTTCAAGTGGATGACCCAAATCTCCCCTGATGTGGTAAATAGACTTCCAAGGCTTAGCCCGACCCACCTGCCGTCTTTAGTTAACTAATTTCTTCCCGAGAGAGAGAGAGACAGAGAGAGAGAGACAGAGAGAGAGAGAGAGAGAGAGAGAGAGAGAGAGAGAGAGAGAGAGAGAGAGAGAGAGAGAGAGAGAGAGAGAGAGAGAGAGAGAGAGAGAGAGAGAGAGAGAGAGAGAGAGAGAGAGAGAGAGAGAGAGAGAGAGAGAGAGAGAGAGAGAGAGAGAGAGAGAGAGAGAGAGAGAGAGAGAGAGAGAGAGAGAGAGAGAGAGAGGAGAGAGAGAGAGAGAGAGAGAGAGAGAGAGAGAGAGAGAGAGAGAGAGAGAGAGAGAGAGAGAGAGAGAGAGAGAGAGAGAGAGAGAGAGAGAGAGAGAGAGAGAGAGAGAGAGAGAGAGAGAGAGAGAGAGAGAGAGAGAGAGAGAGAGAGAGAGAGAGAGAGAGAGAGAGAGAGAGAGAGAGAGAGAGAGAGAGAGAGAGAGAGAGAGAGAGAGAGAGAGAGAGAGAGAGAGAGAGAGAGAGAGAGAGAGAGAGAGAGAGAGAGAGAGAGAGAGAGAGAGAGAGAGAGAGAGAGAGAGAGAGAGAGAGAGAGAGAGAGAGAGAGAGAGAGAGAGAGAGAGAGAGAGAGAGAGAGAGAGAGAGAGAGAGAGAGAGAGAGAGAGAGAGAGAGAGAGAGAGAGAGAGAGAGAGAGAGAGAGAGAGAGAGAGAGAGAGAGAGAGAGAGAGAGAGAGAGAGAGAGAGAGAGAGAGAGAGAGAGAGAGAGAGAGAGAGAGAGAGAGAAAGAGAGGGTTTATCTGCACTTGACCACTCACAGTGACTAACAGCAACGTTGACCCAGCAGCGTTAATGATGCTTCGAAAGAAGATAATGAAACCAATGGAATTTGGTCTCGGCGCTGGAACAGGCGGCGATAGACCGTCCCTAGGAGGATAGACCACTGTCCCACATACCACGTTCACTCCATCCCGCTCCCTCTGTGCTGCTCACCTATCGGTAAAAACCCCGCAAGTGATCAAAAGGAACGGAACCAAACCTCAGCTGGAAATAGAGGACGTGGCTCTTATCTCCTCTTGTACCTCCTCCTGAGCCTTCTGGTGTGTGTCTCCAGGAAGGGCGGAAGCCATTCTCCTGCGCCGTGTTTGGCCGCAGTTCGAAGTGTCTGCCACAGGTTTGAAGGCTTCACAGACGTGAAGTTGTAGGCCAGAGAGCCGTCTCAGGTCAGGATGAAATGAATCTTTCATTAAGATTCAGTCACGGGCTGCTTCCTGGGGGTGGAGGCCTGGGGGTGGAGGCCTGGTCGAGGACCGGGCCGCGGGGACACTAAAATGCCCCGAAATCATCTCAAGATAACCTCAAGATAACTTTTCACACTAGAGATGCTATACCGATGATGATACTTTTCAAAGCGCTTGTGCTCTCTTAGAGTGGAGTACTACTGCACAATGACAGCCCCTCTAAACTCTTTCGTTCGTCAAGTCTTTGTCCCGATCCAGTTAATTCCCGACGGGCGACTGGAAAAGAAGACCCGGGCATGGTTTCCAGTCCGTGAGCGCTGATTGGTAGCCCTGGATAGTGATTTACTCCACGTTTCCAGTCCATGAGCGCTGATTGGGAGCCCTGGATAGTGATCCACTCCATGTTTCCAGTCAGTGAGCGCTGATTGGTAGCCCTGGATAGTGATCCACTCCACGTTCCCAGTCCATGAGCCCTGAATGGCAGCCTGGATGACGACCCACTCTCCACAGAGCTCCCAACGAAACAATGCTGGAACACCGCTCTTGTCGACCGACAGGAATCTATTGTTTACCTCATGTATTACCCCCCCCCCCTACGCCGGTACCACAAAGATACCTTCAATAATACCAGAAAGATACCCCCAGAGGCAGTTCCATGATCGCCAAACTCTTTTTTAAAAATGCCTCGACTTGTATTTTCAGAAGGCCCCCAAAGTGCATATTTACCAAGTCACCAATTGACGCCCGGGAATTAAGGAAATATTCTCACATTCTCGGTACCTGGCCAAGGAAATGCAACCTCATACTGTAAGCGAGGCAATGTGAGATATAAACAAACTTGGGTTCACTTACCCCAAAGCAGTCGGCGTTTTGGTGGCAACTGGCGTCATTCTGCTCCGTGATTTCCTTTTCATGCTGGAATGAGAGATGGAAAACATGTAATACAGATTGTCTTAGGGGATATTCACGGCGGCATGAAACAGAAACATGGTTAAGAGTAGCAATATGGGACTTTAAACACCAGATTTCGAAACCTGGGTTGAACACCAGGGGGTTCAGCACCAGGGGTTAATACCAGGGGGTCAACACCAGTTGGGGATCAATAAAGGGATTTCTCACTCCTATTATAGAAATGGGCCCTTCTCAATAAATTAGAATGTTAAGCAACACTATTCATGAATGCTGTCACCCTGATGGGTACTGTCACCCTGAAGGCTACTGTCACCCTGAAGGCTACTGTCACCCTGAAAGCTACTGTCACCCTGAAAGCTACTGTCACCCTGAAGGCTACTGTCACCCTGAAAGCTACTGTCACCCTGAAAGCTACTGTCACCCTGAAAGCTACTGATAAAAATGTCTCATTCTCTGTCTCAATGTCTTCAGTCTCTGATAAAAATGAAAACAAAAGAAACACAGAGCCCAAGACACACTCAGATCTACCCATAGAAGGAAAACATAAGCTCCAGTGAATAATGCTGTCTCACGACCTGATATCTAGTGAATATAACAAAGGAAATATAACGCCAGTCAGAAAAATGGTCAGATCCATTACGCGGACCTTTAAATCCAGTGACTCTTATATACATATATTTATAATATGTATATACATACTTATATATGCGAACAAGCCTGAATGGTCCCCAGGACAATATGCAACTGAACTTACAATACTAATACATGTATATACTTATATATGTATATATAGTATATACTTGTATACTATTCAAATCGCTGGGGCTGTCCCGAATTGTGCACTGAGCTGTGCTGACTCCCCCCCCCCCATTCAGAACAGAAAAGGTTTCTGAAATAGGGAATACAAAGGTCATATTCAGCACGTATAGACACGATAAAGACTTATCGAGACTTTATTATACAACTTTATTATAATAACGAAATTATTGTAAAAATCTCAAAATGTATTCTCAAGACAGGAAGCAAGAGATGTCAAGGGAGATATCATATACATGGAAGATATCATACACATGGAAGATATCATACACATGGAGGAAACTGAAAGGCCAGGTCCCAAAATTTACACAGTAAAATATCAACTAACTGGAGCGAACGATATGGTATAGAAAATGCAGAATTGCAATTGGGTCACACGAATAAGGTCTCCGGGGTTCGACTCCCGCAAAAAAAAAAAAAAGATGGTAGAGAAATGTTTCTTGTCACCAGAGGCCTCTGATCACCTAGCAGTATACAGGTACCCGGGAGTTAGCCAACTGTTGTGGGAGGCAACGTGGGTCAAAGTCAGTTGCTAACCAATTGGGAACTTAGATAGGAAAATCATGCTCAAGGCTGTACTGTTAAAAATGCATCGCAGATATTGATAATAACTGCATTAACTTCAATAGGAAGGGAAGGGAATTATCAGGAGGAAAGCGCCAAGGCCGAGGAGCCGGTCGGCCGAGCGGACAGCACGCTGGACTTGTGATCCTGTGGTCCTGGGTTCGATCCCAGGCGCCGGCGAAAAACAATGGGCAGAGTTTCTTTCACCCTATGCCCCTGTTACCTAGCAGTAAATAGGTACCTGGGTGATAGTCAGCTGTCACGGGCTGCTTTCTGGGGTTGGAGGCCTGGTCGAGGACCGGGCCGCGGGGACACTAAAGCCCCGAAATCATCTCAAGATAAGATAACCAAGAAGAAGGCATTACGGCTATATATCACAGGGCAGGGATCAGGATAAGGATTTGGGATGGGACAGGAGTGGGGGGGGGGGGGGGGGAGGAATGGTACCCAACCACTTGTGGACGGTCGGGGATTGAACGCCTGAACCTGCATGAAGCGAGACCGTCGCTCTACCGTCCACCCCAAGTGGTTGGATTCCGGCTGGGTTCCGTCTACTGAGGTTGGGTATCATCAATAGCAGTCTTTAACAAAACCTTCTATGACAAAAATTAACGAAATCATACATTAATGTGAGATCATTGCAGTAAATTATTTTAATTTGCTAACATCAAACTGTGGCAAGTGAATACAAGCTCTGAAGAGGTAACTAATTGGACAGTGTTGTTTCAAATGGCTTTTGTTAAGAGTTGAAAGGTAATTATCAAATCACAATTAATATGACGCAAAAACGATCTTGAGGTTAGCTTGAGGTTATCTTGAGATGATTTCAGGGCTTTTAGTGTCCCCGCGGCCCGGTCTTCGACCAGGCCTCCACCCCCAGGAAGCAGCCTGTGACAGCTGACTAACACCCAGGTACCTATTTTACTGCTAGGTAACAATGTTTTATTGATTTAAACAATTTGTCTGGCACTGAAACATCAGTGCCAAATAAAAACAGAACGAGAGTTAGTAATTATATAACACACTATAGACTGACCTAAATGCCTTAAGCACTTTCAATACAATCAAATAAATCACACCAAATAAATCACACACAAATACAAGGTAGTTCTAAACCTTATAATATTTAACATTTAAACTAAAAAAATTAATCTTATATATTACTGATAAAATTAAAAACATTTTAAATCATATGTCCAATATCTATATACCTGGTTGATGGGGTTCTGAGAGTTCTTCTACTTCCTAAGCCCGGCCCGAGGCCAGGCTTGATTAGTGAGAGTTTGGTCCACCAGGCTGTTGCTTGGAGCGGCCCGCAGGCCACTCCAAAATATAGTTTATATATTTTAATTAATTAATCTGTTGATCATCTTCGATTAAAGGAAATGTCCCACCCAAAGGCACAGCCACTAAGGAAATACTTGGGCTATTATGCTAAGCTAGAGAATAAATTGACAGATTTTAACCAATTTATTTTTCCTAAATACAAAAATATATTTCACACGGAATATATCTCGGGCACACGACAATGACAAAATCTAGATGAAGTATATCTAAAAAGCATATAAAAATCAATATGGTTTTTTTGTTTAGCACAAATGCCAAACATAGCTCGATCAAGCCTGGCCTCGGGCCGGGCTTGGGGAGTAGAAGAACTCCCAGAACCCCATCAACCAGGTATATGTGGGCCTGCGGGGCGCTCCAAGCAACAGCCTGGTGGACCAAACTCTCACAAGTCAAGCCTGGCCTCGGGCCGGGCTTGGGGAGTAGAAGAACTCCCAGAACTCCATCAACCAGGTATATGTGGGCCTGCGGGGCGCTCCAAGCAACAGCCTGGTGGACCAAACTCTCACAAGTCAAGCCTGGCCTCGGGCCGGACTTGGGGAGTAGAAGAACTCCCAGAACCCCATCAACCAGGTATCAACCAGGTATCAACCAGGTAGAGGTTATTTATCAAACCCAAAAAATGAATATGCTAATAATTTTAATTACCAAACATCAGCAAATACAGCTAGAGGGTCGGGCTACAACAACAAGATAATACAGCAATCAACAGTACTGAATAATATATTTTATAGGGACGATAAGGCAACAATTTCATCCGTCTTGGTGATACAATTTGGAATTCTATAGTGCTGATAATAATCCAACCCTTAGCAATTTAACAACGGTGTGAGAAGCTATTGAGGTTCCTATGTATTACTCAACATAAAACGTCTATTTAGTTCATAATTAAACACGGATGGCAAAGATTTTAAACCTAGCTTTTTTTACTTTTGTCTCCGAGAGAGAGAGAGCGAGAGAGAGAGAGAGATTGTGAGTGAGAGAGATTGTGAGTGAGATTGAGTGAGAGAGATTTTAAATTGTAATTTAATATAACTTGTATTTTTACAACAATACAAGTTTGTATAGATAATAGATATTAAAATTTTTCAAAAAGGTATTTTTAAAAAGGACTTTAGTAAAGTCCATAATCAAAGGTTTTCTTGAAAAGAAAATCACATGATTGAGAACAGGTTATTCAACAGAGGGTTTCGAAATTTGATTACAGTATCTGAATGCTGTACTATGGAGATGATTTAAATGGCTTAATGTAACCAATAGAGTGCCACGGGGATATAGGAGTGGGGGGGGGGTCGTTAATGATTGTTTTTGTCTTACATGAATGACATCGTTAATGGGTCTTATGGGTTAATGGTTAATGGGTCTCATTGTTAACTATTTGCCCTATTTCAAATTGGCTCGTCCTAAATACTGTATTGTGATATCAATGTACAAACATCTGTTTCACCGCTCTTATGGTAAACTTCACTTGATTTGTACTAATATATCACCTTTCAAATTCTTACCTAAATGTTCAATTATGCTTTGATTTAGATTATGAGATGATTTCGGGGCTCTAGTGTCCCCGCGGCCCGGTCCTTGACCAGGCCTCCACCCCCAGGAAGCAGCCCGTGACAGCTGACTAACACCCAGGTACCTATTTTACTGCTAGGTAACAGGGGGCATAGGGTGAAAGAAACTCTGCCCATTGTTTCTCGCCGGCGCCCGGGATCGAATCCGGGACCACAGGATCACAAGTCCAGTGTGCTGTCCGCTCGGCCGACTGATAATGTCTACATGCATAGTGTCATTGTGACTTATGTGTAATCAATGTACTGAACTCCTTTATGTAATCTTCCCCAATTGAAAATGTACAATCATTTGTGAACTTTATTTAATTTCATTTGACAATATATAAATCTACCCTTGGCCGTACATTTGGTAACAAATCTATGCGCCACAAGGAGCAACAGAGATTGCTGAGCCAATTAAGCCTTTGCTAATTGGTCTGATTTACCGACAAGCGCGGCCAAGTTTTAATAGTGATAACATATACAACAGCACATAAAGGCTTTTCAGATAAAAATAAAAGAAAAAGGCTTGCTATTGTTTGACTATCATTACATAATATTCACGAATGAATGGAGTAGAAAATGAAGGAGATTGAGTGATATTGAGCCGGGCTGTGGCGGGTATGTGGGCCTTCGGGCCGCTCCAAGCAACAGCCTGGTGGACTAAACTCTCACAAGTCAAGCCTGGCCTCGGGCCGGGCTTGGGGAGTAGATGAACTCCCAGAACCC